TATTATTAGTAGTAGTAGTAGTAGTAGTAGTAGTAGTAGTAGTAGTAGTAGTAGTAGTAGTAGTAGTAGTAGTTCTTGTTGTTCTGTTCTTTAAATAAATAATTTGCACTGGTCCACATCATTACTCAATCCAAGCACGCTGAAAATAAATGAGCTTGTTCCCAGGCTATGTCTGCATGTCAGATCACACATTAAGATAAAAGTGTATTTTCTCCTCTTACATCCTCATCCCTCCAGGCAATGCAAATCTTTCAGGGCAAAGTTCCTGAGACATCAGGCATGCAAACAGCACTATGCTCTCTCCCAAATGACCAATTACAAAAGCAAACATATGTTAAATTGCTGAATCCATATTGAGGCAAGCTTGTGTTAGAAGGAGCAGCCTTTTCCTCTGAAGGATGTACTGCTTCCAGGTTAAGGTCCCGGTTCTTCTGGTGAAGAAGCCCTCTGTGGGTTTGAAATTACGGCTCTTCACCCCGAGAGCCCTAAATGAAGCAAACAAGCGAGCAAGGTTGAAGTAAGCCAGTTAAGCCGCGGGACTCGAAATGTTTGATGCCCGACTGCCATCTAGTGGATCCCCCTCTTCAGCCACACCATTCCGAACTTGCACATACATCACTATCGTTTAAATCCGACACTCCATTTCTCTTGCAGCTTGCTTAAGACAGAGAACATACGCCCTTACGGTAAGTGAATAAAGAGCATGTGAAGACTATCCATGCTTGCATGTCTTTTTTCATTTGTGACACCATCCAGTCATACACAAACGAGAACGTTGAAAAGAGTCACCTTTTGCTGTAGATGCAGCCATAGAAGCACAACAACCTGAACAGAAAACAGCAGTGACCTTCTGGCAGTAACCAGGACTTGCTTCGATTAACCCAAATGAAACAAAATATACATAATTAAATAGTAAGTCCAGCATCGCGCTTTAATGGCATGGTTGCATTTAGGGTAAAACAAGTGAACAATATTTTTTTATTCTTCACACGTTTCGATGAACAGATTCCAAAGGCTTTTACTGCCATGGGAAGTTTCACGTTCTCCAAGTGCCATGTGCCTGTTTTGAAGAACATATCAGTAAAACCAGAACCAAATCATGGTGGCACGTTAGTTAAGACTAGCAGATTGATTTCAATGTGAGCTTCTGTGCCCCACAATCTCCTTACTCAGACCCACAGACCGGAATTCTATTAACCTTTGTGGATTGCGTGACAGCCACCACACAAGATAAGGCATCTGTTCTCTAAGCTGTCTGTCACGTGCCTGCCCCTCCTTGGGTTGCATTGTTAATGGTGCGCCTGCTCACATGACTGACCACATGACAGAAAGACCGGGAAACTATGAAAACGCTTGCCCAGTTGCCTGACACATCCATTTATTTTTTTTAAACTATTGGGTTTGGCCAGTGATTCAGACCACAATAGTAGATTAACGAAACAAGATTAACCATGGCAGGGACACTTCATTTCAGTCAGCAAAATGGAAAAGCGACAGGAAAAAAATGGCTTTATAAATTAGCATGGGCTGTCTCTGGGAATCCACTTCTGTGAAGCAGGGAGGAAAGCCCTGGGTTCTGCCTGCAAGGCTTTGTGATTCAAGATGAAGGATGCCTACTCGAAGGGACCGTTTCAGTGAAGCTGACTACAAGGACGACAGAAAACTGGAATTCTGGAGGACGTGCTTGAACATATACTATGGACTATGTGCTCCAGACAGAACCAGGTGATGCAAACAGTTGTGGGTATTGTCATGCTGCACAAAACCATGTGGCCTACAAGGAGGATCCATACGGTTGCCATGTGTCTTGGGGGGGCACCAGAAGTGCTGACGTGGCATATCTGAGCCTTCTCTTCTCAAACTGCATGAATGCTCCCAGCTGAACTCTAGGGAGTTATTGGAACTACTTCGCATAGCTGACTGAACTTCAACCCTATTCCCTCTCCACTTCCACGTCCGTGAGCACAATTTACTTTGGGCTTTCTCACAGCAGCTCAAATCTCCTTATTCATTTGTCTACCTCTGCCAAACAAAGCCCCTCAGTTCACCATGGTATGCTTTCCATTTAGCCTGGCAATCAGAATCTTTGGTGGTGGGGGGAAAGAAAGAGATCCAGTTCTCTTGAACATACATTAATGGAGGGTACTCTTATTGTTCTTTGCATGACTCGGGAACTGTTGATGCTCTTTTGTTGTCACACAGTCCATAAAATTTCAGAGATGTATTTTCTCTCTGGATTATTTAGGAGAAAGAAAGGTCAAATGGAAAGATCACCCTCATTTATTATTTAT